CAGGAAAGTATACATCCGTTTTGTTACTGAGGTTCACATTAGTTGCTCACAGAGTTATACAACTTTAATATCAAAGTGTACAAACTGTTCGCTTTCTCGAATCAGTTTGACAAAAGACTATCAATTTGAAAAAGGGATAACGTTGACACAACATAGTCTTAAGATACACTGTTGTTCTCGGTATATTTAAACACCTTGAGTTAAGCAAGATAATTACACCGTTTGACAACTATCAATACAAGAATAATGTTGTAAAATGAAACAAAATACAGATGATAATGGAAACAATTTTCAGCTCACGAGGATGATAATTTTGTGTTTTCTGAGCTTTGGCATTTTATCGTGAACTTTCCAAGTCCAATCTCACTTGAACTCTTCGTCAAACATGTTAAGGTATGAGAAAAATCTTTTCTCCAACTTACACTTAACACTCAGCATCAGTAAAAACACCACCTAAATATTCGCCTATCATTCAAATATACTTCACTTCTTTATAAAGTTAAGACTGTAGATTTCACCAAGCACGGTGATGAAATATTCACAACAAAATACAAAACTTTAGAGAACATTGGACTATTATGAAAATGCAGCTAAGGCTAGAATGCTTGAATGCAATGCAAAGAATAATTTACACAAGAATAATGTGCATAATTCGATATAACATTATATTCTGCTTAAACAAAATCATAATTCGAAACTCATATAGTTTTTTATCGTCAAACAATTGACTAACTTACTGATTTGGAACTGATATTAGTTGGAGAAACACTGAAAACCTGGAACCACTGAGCAGCTAGACTTCAAAATCACCTAATCTCTCTCTATAAAGTATCTAAGATTCAGTATCGATGTGTCTCAGAATGCTATTCCAGAGTTTCCAATGAAATTCCATACCCTGGAATAAAATACAGTTACTCACAAATGACAGTGGATGATAATCACATCTAACTGTGAATTGATAGAAGTGGTGAAATTTAAGCCACTGAATTCCAACTGAATGAACGGATGCTAATAAGCTTGCAATGGCATTTATTATCTCGGGTCCAATCAGCTCCAGGGAATCGCGAGTTCAAACAAGGCTGGAACAGCTATTCAATGTTTCATAGTTTTTAACGTTAAGTCAACAGATTTCAATGTTATGAAAACCTAACAAGAAGAAAATTTTATTTCCAACGGAAACTTACGTTTCTTCAATTGAATGATCAATTGGTCATTTAACTTGATCAGTAATAAAACAGTTAACGAAAGAAAACGTACAATAAGTTCAATGTACAAAAAATAAACTTTATAAGAGTGTGATTTCTCAGAAACCCCTCAGTCATCAGCTGAATCTATCCGCGCTTCAGTGAGTGATGTTGTTCCTGCTTAGACTCGAACCAGGGACAGAGTGCCTAAAACACATTAGTGTTATCCACAAAGCCATTGGGTCAGAGCAGCTACCTCTTGTAGAACGGGTATAGTTTTTAGGTTGTGGTTTGTATTATGTAAGATATATCGAAGAGAAACACTAAATATATATTTTTCTTGAGCTAAAAATTTCCATCAAATAAAAATCAGAGAGATATTCAGTAGATTACTCACTTAAGTACAAACAAAGAGCATCGATAAGCTGCATAATAACGCAGTCAGCCATCAGTTGACGAACACAGCTACAGAAAAGCCGGTGTAGAAAATTTATTCAACTCATCTTATTCATAAACACTGTTAAGAACGCCTATCAACAAATTTTATTTAGCAACTAAGCATTTTTAGATGGACATGTATGTATTGGCAAGTCTTTTTTATAATAACAATTCATTTCTAGACCTTCATATATTCTGTAGATATATGATCAACACTGATTATTTCAGTTGAGAAAGAAAGCTCTTTCACTGATTGGAACAGATAGATAGACAAAATCAAAGTAGATCTTAGCATATAAGTGCGTCAGTTCAAGTCACCATGGATCACGATATCATGCAAATAATAAATGCTTACACAAAGAGTAACAAAGGGAAAAGAAACAATTTGAAGATGAAGGTTAGTGAGAGTGTCCAAGCTTTAGAAGACTTCAAGGAGTGAATATGTCTATGTTACTGTGACTGATTTTCAGCCAGTTCACTAACAGTCTTCAACTATTAGTTCCCATTATCATGAGAACCCCAACTAGACACTTTACACATCGCTACCCAGCTCAGTTTAACGGTCAAAGATTTTATGAATCGGTATCAAATGCTGTTCTAGCCTCCCTGAGACTTCTTGCAACCCAACTTCACACCGGTTAACATTGCATGTTGAGGTAGGCAACGGTTTGGCATACGCAATACACGTCCAAGCCATCTAAATCACTGAAAGATCATAACCTTACCTAGTAACCTACGCCCAACGTCGATTAATTAATTTAAACATAGATATGTAGCTAAATCCATCTTCCGAATGATGGCACCTTTTAATGTTTGGGATTTTGTGTTCAGTGTCTTGTTGATATATATATATATATATATATATATATACATGAAGATTTCACTGAAACTTTTCAGTTCACTGTTAAGTTATCAAAAGAATACATAGTTGATGAGATAAAATTCGACTTTGAAGTAATGAAAGATATATCGTTATTAAATGGTGGTAGATCTAGGTTTTATGCTCGTTGTCATTCACCAGCAAGGGTTATAGACGTTTATTAGTGCTAAGCTGTAAGAAATACACACCTGCATCGGTTACTCACTTGTGGGCAACTCATCATACATATATTATTGACTTGAAGATCCTCTAGTTTCATAAACACTAGTAGAATTTGAAACTTAACAGAAATTTTACTACACCGAAAATTTATGCATTTTTTAAAGTTTGCGATTGAATTCTACCGAAAGTACCAGTCACTACACACAAAGGCGTTTTTTCCACTACAGTTCTTCATTTGCATTTAGTGTCACAGTGATATTTGTTAGTTGAAGAATAACACTCTAGGTATTTGTACCTCTTTTCATTTAGAAATGAATGTCTTTATTGTTTGGCCTTTGTAATCAAAAATTAAATTTGCATAAATTCATAAAGTCATAGTTACTGAAGTTAATTTGTACATCTTCCAAACTACTACCATTTGGAGAACAATAATGAGGAATCAAGCATCACCAAAATTTTATTTAATTCATCACGATAACATTTTCAACCGCAAAAAAACACAGTGATCCGTAGAATTCCGTTAGTACTCAGGACTGGACAATATGAAATCGGTTGCTTTCAACCGACTAGTCAGTATAACCAATCCAATCCTGAAAGAAGGTCAGTCGAGGTTCGAATAGCCAAGTGATAACATCACTGACTGCAACATTGGCTGAAACGAGTACGAATCTTACAGGAGACATTAGTTTCTTTCCACTTTGAAGATACGGCTTACTGACGAGTGTCACCAAGCACAAAACGTAGATCAACCAAGGCAACCTGCCAATTGCCTCCTACCAAATAGCGTACATCAAAGTGCACCACCATGGTAAACCTCATTACTTGATGAACACACTACAAAAAGATTGACAGAACTCGGTCAGCATTCAGGAAAAGACAAGATGAAATCGGCTGCTGTCTAGTGACCGATCAATGTATACGATACTCTTCGCATATTTATTTTCCATTTCTTAATAGTTATTACCATGCAGCATTGAAAATAACGAAATGAAATGTATGCCAGTCAGTAGATTTTTTCAATTTGTAGATCACTGAAACTAGCTCATTCTATTTCACCTGTATTATGTTTTATGTTGTTGTTCTTCTGGTTAATTTCTAAACTAACTGGAAGCAATGCATGCTCAATGATGTGATTACAACAGTAGATATACTAAGAGCCTACTTCTGAGTTAAAATTTTATTCCTAACTGCTTCTATGGCAGCTTTTAACATGAAATCACATCATTCAGTGGACCAGTCAAAACTTAGAAGCACTGGACACTTTTTCCGTCCTAATTTAGGACGTCTCAGCAGTGTGCGCTAAAAAACCCCTTTAGGGATTGAGTCCGGGCTTCTGGCTGCGACAGCTGTCTATTGGCTATACAAATTCCCATTCGTCTGATATCTTAATAGCTTCGATGCATAAGTGAAGTGCAGTTTAATCGAAACGCCCGAATAAACACTATCAGTTCAAGCAGCTTCAAGCTTTGTAGATGGAAATTTGAAATATGAAAATGGACAATGAATAAACCCCAAAAAGTTATTTAGTTAGTAATACTGTTTCACTGTGTAACAATTTTAATAAACAGACCAAAGTGGGATTAGAGTTTTTTTTAAATACCAAAGAGATAGATAAAATCAACGTAGAACCTCGTACAAAGGTGCATCACCTCAAGTTGCTACATTTCACAGTAGTATACAAAGAAAAATTGGATAGAAACAGAGTGATATCAAAGTAGACGAATTTGTTTGAGAGGATAAATAACTTGAAGACAAAGGTTGGTAGAAATATTCAAGCTTTAGATGTTATAGAGTGGATACATCTTCGCCTCCTGTGACCTATTTCTAGCCATGCCATCAAGAAATTTTTGTGGTTGGAAATGCCAACATGATTAGTCAGTTAAAACGTTGATAAACTGTGAACTCCTCATTAGTGTTCTCCAAACGGCAGTAGTATGGAAGATGTACAAGTTAACATCAGTCCTAAACCACTCGTTCCCTTCGTCTCGAAAACCCCGACTAGGCAGTCCACACCTCCCCAAATGACTCACACTAACAGTCAGAGAATTTGTCGACTGCTGTCATATCTTGATTTGGCCACCGTGAACTCTCTCTTAACCTAATCCGGCTTCCCGCAGCATTGAATGTAGAGACAGATGGCAGCTCATCATGCGCGGTCCAAGTCATCTCAAATACTAGTTCCATCTTAGTCGTTCATAGCTTAATAAAGAATGGTGATAACAGAAGTATATTCAATAAATATAGGTTGATACTGAGCTTGTCTTACCCTATAACATCCGTTCCTTTTTTCAAACGCCTAATGTGGTCTCTCTTCCTCGTTTTTTTCTGTTTTTCAGAGTTAGGCTCAAAGGTCAGTCGTTCTGCGGGTGTACAAAAGCCAGAAGAAGTTTACATTGAAAATGGTAGGTTAATTTTGAATTCTTCCTCGTTCGCTGATGCTTGCAGTTTCCCTTTGATGAATATACTGTACCGAATTTGCCGGTCATTTTTGGCATATGGACTCCTTGATTGGACGCTTCAATGTTCCCACGAGTTCTGTCTTATTGTTATTCATTCGGTACTGATTAGCCGTGGCGTTTCAGACATGCATTTCATTCCGATTGGAACCCCACCCATTGGATGTGCCTACGCCTTAGTGAGTGGTCGCATGCCCACTAAGAATCTTACCCAGCACCTATCGCTTCTCGGGGCCTAGCAGCCTAGTCAATAGAGCTGCAGCAGAGGAAACATTATCACTCATTGGAGTGTAAATACATCGAGATCTGAAGTTCCAAGCGGAGTGAAACCCGCGTCTAAGGTTCCATTGCTAGCTACCACTAAGCAGATATCTTTAAATATGCCTACGTTTCATAAGTATCAGAACAACGTTTTAACTGGAGAAAGAAGAGTCTTGAAGAAAGACATCTCCTGAGTGATGATAATTCTTGGCACAAGATGAAATATAACACTGTTGCAAAGTCTTACTCAACCTGTTCACAGATGATACCGTTGAACCTTATTACGTAATGCTAATATAACGTCAGTAATAAATCTTTGTCGAAAACGCAGGAAAAAAGGATTGCACTTTTGTCTTAGTTTGCATGGCGATGGATAATAGTAGAATCCAGGACGCGCGCTTCCTTCTATTTAGGTTTCGTCAGTTGGATGTACCCACACCGAAGTGATGTTGTTCTCTATGGAACTGGAACCCAGCAGTCTCTGCTTTTAACGCGGTGACATAATGAGTAATCTGCAAATATTGACGTATCCACATAGGAATCTCAGAAGTCTATCAGTTCTGTCCAGAATAACAACGGGAAATTAAATGTATCGATAAAGACAGTATTCTGCTTTTTAATGTCTCACACATTAATTTATTTCACTTCCGAGGATGTTTATTCTCTCATTTCGATCCAAACCCATAATGCTAGCTAGACGAAGTCCCAAACCTTCTTAATGAACTGATTTGAATAGAAATGATTCTTTGCCTACTTTTCTTTCAGTAAATGAAAGATACCACAAAATTATTCATCAAACATCAAATACAACGTATCTCAGCACAGACTCAAATTAGTGATCACAAATATTAGTAGGAATGTAACATTGAACTTCGAATACAGGAAAGTTATACGACATTCGTTTACACCTAAAATCAATCACTTTAAGGCTGACTAAAGATAGGGAACATGTATTTGGGTAATTAGCTATTTTTAAATAAAAAAACAAAGTATCATGTGGCAAAAACACAGAAATTTCCCTTGTGAAGATGGTCTCTTAATTCTCAAGTTCTATGATCTTTCGATGTCTACTAGGGGATTGAGAACGAGAAACTCTATATAAAAAAAGGAAAATTTTCTGACCTGGTCACAATTAGGACAACTAGATCATTGTTCACAAGCAAATTTAATGACTTCCGTCATCAACTATACCTCTTCCCTTGAAAGTAGCCTTAGAATCCATTGGTAGAGAGATCCAATGGCAGTGTCAACTGGCTGCAAAACATGAATAAAAGGTACATTACTTTACTTAGAACTCTGTACTCAAGCAAAAATGGTCATGTTACCATTTATGATGAGCTTCCTGTTGAGGTATCTTCTCTGAGTGGTAATCATTGAAGATGTTCATTATCTAAATTTCAATTCAATTTTTCTCATTTACACACTAATGGATGTCTGTCTTTTCTGGTAAATGGTTCTATTATATGAGATTTCTTAATCAGTTTGAAAAACATAGATGATATAGTTTGCGTGATGATGACGCTATTGAGGTACACTGTCTTTAAAGCATGTTCAGGTTCAACTTTGGGATGGTTGGATTTCATTTCTCCTCGACTGGATGTAGATTTTTCTCTCCGAACTCATTCTCGTGAACGTATTATCCCTCAGTAAGGAGTAAATGGGTCTATCTCCCTGGAAATTTTAATACAAGAGAAGTTGCATCATCCTTGATGTGCTGGAGACCAACAACATCTTGATATAAGCAGAAAGGATATCTTTTCAAATTTCATCGTCCTTTCATTGAAAGCTTTGCCTAATAATTTGTATTCAACTCCTTGTTTCTTTTATAATTTAGCGATTAACTTTTGTGAATAAGCTTTAACTGGGGAGCCTTTTGAATGACTAAACACCCACCAACTAACAGTTTGAACACATCATTAGAGCTCTGTAAGAGAACGATTAAGCCAGTTCTTTTTTTAGATAACTATAGAAAACCTATCATGGTACAGGTACAGTTAACTTTGGATGCTGTTCAATGAACGGATCCATGCAGTGTGTTATTTATTATATGTTACACAGAGACACTGAATAAAAGAAACAGAACTCACAGTCATAATCACATCCTTATGGGAACGTAATGCTTCCTTGAGCATTGGTGAAGAGGTTTCGTAGGTGTGATGCATATCGCCTATAACTCTTCTGACAATAATGTCTTTGACATACTTAAAGTTAAACAGTGTTTTGTCAGTACAAAAAGTTTCAACTTTTTTGTGAAACAGAGAGCAATACTGTGTAACTAGATGAATAAATAATGAGCAGTATGAAATGTTCCAATAAGTCCTATACTACTTATGAACACCTTCCAAAGAGTTGATGATTCATTCGAATGAATAGCTGTCATATTTTATTCTCTTGACATTTCATTGATGCAGGACCTCAGATTAACTGCTTACGATCCCTTAATATAGTGAGCCAATGCGGGTGATCAAGCAGCCTCAACTTTGTTTGAGTTACTTGTCACCGGCGTTTACAAAATTTGTTTTTTATCTCCAAAGGATATTACTGTCAGTTTTAGACTACTCTGAGAACTCAGGTCTTATTCCTATTTCAAGGTAGCTAACGCCAGCAAATAAAGTAAGCCAGATGATTCCTATCTGTGTTAGTTGAATGGAAGCTATCGACAAGCAACCCTTGACCTAGATTTCGTGCTTTTGGGCACTCATCAGCAAGGTATATCTGCTATCTCAGCGGAAGGAATGTACCGCCTGAGATTTGAACCCGCATCTATTGACCACACTGCAAAATGATCGACAGGATTCCATTAGCGCTTAAGACTAGACAATTAAAACTTGGTTACCCTCCAGTGACCACTCAGTGAAGCTTAATCTGTTTTCACCACTTGCTGAAATGTTTTACCGTAAGAAAGCGTATTATTGTATTTTTGAGATGAATGGGGATTTTTAATTTAGAAGTAGTATTCATCACGGACCGACGTCAGCTGAGGAGTCATTGAAAATCTGGGAGAACTGGACAGCTGTTTCGTCCAACTAGTATGGGACTCCTCAACAGCACGCACCCACGACCCGGCTAGGGGTCAAACTCAGGACCTTCAGGTTTCACGACGAACGCGTTAACCATTCAGCCACTGGGTCGGTCTCCACCGGTTCACAATTTCCAACTTCTGTCAATTCACGACATAACTGTCGAAACAGCTGTCAAGTGCTCCCACATTTTCAGTGGTTCCCCAACTGACGTCACTGCATCATGAATACTACTTCTAAATTAAAAAAATCTCCATTCACCACAAAAATATATTACTGTATAGTGCTCATTAGTGACTTACTTCCAGATGGATATCAGGAAGGCGTAATGAGAAGTCATTACCTGTGGGGTCAACCAGTTGGAAGTAAAGTAGATGCTAACTGAAGATCTTGGGTGACAGTCGTGATATATTGAAAATTGTGAACCGATGGCACCGACCCAGAGGTTGAATGGTTGCCGCGTTCGCCGTGAAACCTGAAGGTCCTGAGTTCGACCCCCGGCCAAGTCATGGGTGCGTACTGCTGAGGAGTCCCATGCTAGTTGGACGAAACAGCTGTCCAGTGCTCCCAGATTTTCAGTGGGTCCCCAACAGATGTCACTCCATAATGAATACTACTTCTAAAGTGCATTATTCTAATAATATAATATTTTGCAGCATTATAACCAGTTCATCATTCTTATTAAATAGAGCTAAAATCTCTACACATACACTGGGAGAATTTTTGTTTTATGAAAAATTAACCACCTTTCAAAACAAAAGTAACCAAAGCTAATCGACTATCTCAGTAGCTGCAGTTGTAGCCTTTAGTTCACCCGCTGATACAATGTTCCCTCGCAACAATAAATAATTCAAAAAAGCACCCTACTGATTAATAAAACACTCAACCGAAATACTTTATTTTGCCTAGAAAAGAAGGTACAATTCTCATTAAAAAAATAAAACCTTTATGTTGTATTTCAGTCATCATTATATTATTATTTGTCCCTTAGGTTCCTGGTGGAACATACGGCTTCAATAGCACGTTATCAATCCACTCCCTTCTCTGAAATCTTTTCAACCTAGCTCCACAACTGTCCACAACCTCTCATTTCTTCCTCACACCATCTCCTTCTCCTTGTCACCCTCGGATGCCCAACTCGCCGTTTCCCATCTGGGTTCCACTCAACTACCTGGCCTGACGCGTGATGTCCACAATCAGTCTTCTCAGTGCATGCCCAATCCATCTCCACTTCCTTCTGCATATTTGTTGAGTGATAGGTTCTTGGTTGGTTCGTTACTGGGCAGAGTTCCTTGTTACTTATTCTTTCTGGCCATCTCATCTGGTCTTCAGTATCGAGTCAGTGCAGGTGGCAGTTGTTGATGAATATCTGTAGTTTGTTGGAAATGCTTTTCGTAACCCGCCAAGTCTCTCAACCATCACATAGAGGCACTGAATTTCGTGACTAACATTAGTGTTGAAAATCCGGATCTTGTTCACGTTTTATGCTGAGTGCAGAAGATATCCACACCGGTTTCAGGCTAATCAACGCCTGTCTTGCTGCCTTTCCGATCCTGGCTGGCTTTGACGTCCTCGTCTGTGCCACCACCTGTAGTTGAAACGATGCTGGCTAGATAGGTGAAGGAGGCTACTTCCTTTAAGTTTCTCCCGTTGACGGTGATTGGA